CTTGATATTAGATCAAGGAATTCAACTATGTCCTCTATTCAGTTGTCTATTTGCAGAATGCTATTTGTAGCTAGATACCAACATGTTTAAAAATAGATCTCCCTGACCTGGAGTACAGTACTCACTCACACTTTTCATCAGTAAAAAAGGGAAACAGTTTTTAATGACAATCCAGCTTCATAAGTAATTAGCTATGTAGTTTAAATATGTTGAATTTTTGTAGAGAAAACATCTTCAGATGATTAGCATTCTAGTGTTTAAAAGTTTTGTTTGTATTTGAGTTAATGGTCTGCAATTTGGTTATAATAATAGTAACAGTTTTTAGTACTTTAAGGCAAGAAGGTTGGTTCTGTTAACTTGAAACTGAAGAAACGAGTGTGTATACATATATGTGTATATGCATATACAAGTTCACACATATGCTTTGTACATACATACACATAAATGGCATTATTGAATGTAATAGAATTTCTATCATAAAAGAAATGCCAGAATTATTTCTGATGGTAATAGCTCAATTTATACAATCTACATATGCTCAGCTCCCTATAGCCCAGTGTCAAAGCAAGATCAAAGCAAGATGGGTTATATAGACTAAAAGAAAAAGAGATAAAAGCTCTTCTCACAGTAAATGTGATTGACTGTCAGAGAAAACCAAGCCTATTTTCATGCAAAATGACTGTAGTGTAATTTGATACATAAAATTTAATATTTTAGAGAAGGAAATATTAGCATCAGCATTTTCTCCTAGAGCTCCTGTTCACAACACATGGAATCATCTGGGTTCTTTGGAACACAGTGTGGAAACACTGAAACCAAAGTGGCGTTTTAAATGAATTTTTTATGGCCATGTGTTTATAGTTAAAATAAAACAGAGAAATGAAACTTAGATAAATCAGACCAAGAAAAGCAAACTTTATATCTGGTCTTTTGTTATTTGACAACAAAAATGTTATTAGTGATGTTACTATGTTTGAATGAAACCACTTTTTAAAAATAAGCAAACCAGATAACTTAAAATAAGGAAGGTATATCATAATAGGTTTTAATTGTAGAAATATGTATGATGAGCCTCTTGTATTGAATTAGTTTATTTTAAACTCTTTATTCGTCAATAAATTCTGTACAAAATACTTATGTCCTGTCATAGGCACATGCATGCCTATTTGTACCATGTGTTACTTTGTTTTTTAAAATGAGCAGCTAGATTTTTTTTTCTCCTCTTAAGCATTAACAGCAGCTCCACTAAGTTGGAAATGAGCAGAATTTGGTGACTAATCAGTCAGTATATATTTATTAAGTGCCTACTTATGTGTTGGGCATATAAATAGGGAAGTTAGGTAGTCTTTCCCTAGACTTAACACTCTAATAGTCTAACAGGCATTAAAGATGAAAAAGTCATCCATAGATAAGTAATTCACTGGAAAAATTATTAACAAGGGAATTAACAAATATGTACGTGAGAGTAAATGGATTTATATTTAAGTTCATCAAGGAGACAGGATAAATTGCAGTCATGAAGTTAGAGGGACCAGGAAAGGTTTCCTGAGAAACATGACACCTGAGTTGAGCCTTGAAGGAAATTGGAATTCTAAAGAAAAAGTGTTTTCCAGGAATGGTACAAAAACATGGAAGTGGGAGATGGGATGCTGAATAAGAGAAGTAGGTCAGAACTGTGCTCTTTGAAGATTGAGGTACAATGAAGCAATTTTTTAAAAATTGCATTTCTAGTTTGAAGAATTATTATTGGGTCATGGGTCTACATTACATTATAAGTTTATTAACAACATGGTCATCTCCTTAGGTTACCTGACCATGCCATCACTAAATTCTTAAGTGCTGGGGATACAGTCAAAAAAGAGATATCTCTACCTCAGAAAGCTATTTTTTTTAGACAGTTGGGGTTAAGTGACTTGCCCAGGGTCACACAGCTAGTAAGTGTCAAGTGTTTGGGCTCAGGCCGGATTTGAACTCAGGTCCTCCTGACTTCAGGGCCAGTGCTCTATGTGCTGTGCCACCTAGCTGCCTCCTCAAAAAGCTTATTTTCTAATAGGGAGAGAGAATACATCTAGAGAAGTATTTTCTAGGGAAAGGTATTTTGTTCTGGGAAGTCATAGGGATGGTGAGTGGAGTCACAGGATAGTTGATCAGGAGGTAGAGTGCATGCAGTGGAAAGAGCAATCAAGTAACAAGCATTTGTTAATTGCTTACTGTGTGCCAGACACTGTGCTAAGCCCTAGAGACAGAAATACAATGAATGAAACAATCTTTAATTCTAGGGTGCTTCTTTACATATTATACATGGAGGGAGGGAGAGAGAACAAAGTAGATTAATACAGTATGGTTTGGAAAGGTGAGCACTAACATTTGGGAGGATCCAGAAAGGCTTCCTGTAGAAGGTGGTGGTTGAGCTTTCTTGAAGGAAGAGAGCTTCTTTGAAGCTGAGGTAGACGAAGAAGTACATTCTAGGCATGAGAGATGGCCAGTGCAAAGGCACAGATTGGAGGTGGGATGTCATGTATGAAGAACAGAAGGAAGCCCACTTTGTCTGAATCTCAAGAGTATGGGATTCAGTTAGGCTGGAAAGATAGGTTGGGGCCACTTTATGAAGGCCTTTAAAAGCCAAACAGTTTAAATTTTGTCCCAAAGGTCATAGAGAGGCAGAAGTCTAGGGCACCTATTATTTCTTGCTTGTGCATAGTGTTCTGCATTTTGACTCTCCTATTAGATTGTGAGCTCCTTGAGGATAAAGAGTTCTTTTTGGTTTTTCTTTTGCCTTTTTTTGTATCCATAGCACAGCACCTGGTATGTAATAGGAGCTTAATAAATGTTAGTTGATTGCCTCCTCACCCAATTTTTGGTTATTTCTAATTGTTGGTAAGTTTTTCTTTAAATCAAACCTAAATCCTCCTCTTTACCACTTAAATCTGTTGTTCCTAGTTCTGCCCTTCAAGGCCAAGCAAGACTAATTGAATTCCTCTTCTGTATTATAACTTTTAGTTATTTAGACGTCTTTCACGTTCCCTCTGAGGCTTGTCTTCTCCATACTGAACATCTCCAGCTCCTTCGGTTAATCCAAATATCGCATGATTTCAAGACCTGTCACCATCGGGGCTGCCTTCCTCTTTATGTTATCTGTCTTATCAATGCTTCAACTAAAATGTGGTTGTATACCCCATGTTCCTTCATGTTGGTGAGAATCAGACCTGGAATAGAATTTGCCATTGTTGGTTCCTCTACTGTTTTAAAGTATAGAAAGAAGTATTGACTGCTCTGCTTTTGGCAGTGAGTACTCCAGAATATGGATGGAGAATTTAAGTTTTCCATCATGCCTCTCTGCCAGGCTTTTCATCTGTTTCCTGAATTCCTCATCTATTTTGCTCATCTGCCCATGTGATCTGTTACATATTACAATGATAACATTGCTTCAGTTGCTGTTTCCATCTCCCCAAGCACTTCATACAGTACTTGCCCTTACCCTTTTGGGTCCCTGATTTCCTCCTGTGAGTGTATATTCTTCATAAAATAATGCAACCCTGCTCCCTCCACTTTACCCCTATCCTGTTTCATTTGAATAAGTTATAACTATCCAGAGCAGAAGTGGGGAATCTGTAGCCCCAAGGCCACATGTGGCCCTCTAGGTCCTCAAGAGCTGCCCTTTGACTGAAGGGCCACACTTGAGGACTGAGGCCACAGGTTCCCCACCACTGATCCAGAGCCATAATCCAATCATTACTGAGATCTATGAGATCAAATTTGTCTCCTTAACATTAGAGTTTCTCGTTCATCCAGCTTGTTAACAATACTTTTTGCATTTGTGAATAGACATTTGAGGATAGGCGTTTTACTGTTGGTTCCTTTCTTGGATTCTTGTCTCCTGTGAACTTTGAGGTATCTCAGCTGCTATTATTCTTCTACATTTAGCTGCTCTCTGTGGTGTGTAACTTAGTGGAATTTTCTCCCTCCCCTTGATATTTTCCATTTAAAATCCTTCTTGATTAGATTCATACATAAGACAAAAGAAAACTGTATTCTTACCACACCTTGTTGAATATATTCCATTCTTGGTTAGGAGCCTCTCATTCCTGTATGCAGGTTTAATTCTCTGGTGTCATATTTTTAAGCATCTGTTCACTTCCCAGATTTCCTCTTCTCTTCTATGTCTCTTGCATTCACTAGGCAAAAGTGGCAGGAAAGGGTGAGGGGGGAACCCATTGGTGTCCTTATGGTCTCTTTTTGAAAATGCTTTCTAGATTCCTTATGGCACTTATTGCTTTGTGAATCTCCAGAAGTAGATAGATAGTAGAAGAGCCTTCAGAGCTCCTCTGTCATGTCTTGGAAAAATGCCCCAGGAAGAAAACCATCTTCTTTATTGTTATCAGGTTGACAAATAGCTGCTTCAATTTCCTCTCAGCAAGTCACCTACCACCACTACTGCCCTACTCTTCTCTGACCCTTAGTAGATGAATCTTAAAGTACCTTGTGTATCTTTTTTATCACTCCTTGGAGGACAAGCAGCAGCATTCTCAAAGTATTAATAATAGCAAAGAAAGTAACTTCAGTTTAGACAACTCAGTGAATATGAGGCAGAAGTTATTGAAAGTCTAGCAGTAGTCCCAGACAGTCCTTGTGATTTAAAATAACTTAGGCTAAAAAAAATATTGTTTCACTGGATTCTTCCCTTTTGGTAATTTTGAATGTTAGAAATGTCTCACAAATACTAATGAAAAATCTGCAGGATTTTTAAAAAGCACAAATTCAGTGTACATATAACAATGATGAAATAGTTTATTCGTGACCACGTTAATTTGTTTAACATATGTAAACACTTTCTAAAACATATCTCACTGCTTATGTAAAAAGGTAAAGTTCTGCTGTACGGTGTCTCCACCAGCTTTTTGCAATGATGTTCATGTACAACTTCCTAACCCGAGTGAAACGTCTTAAAAAACATATTTTTGAATCAGCATTCATATATTGTATTCATATTGTCATTTCAGGTTCAGAATAAGCAAGAAAAGAAACTTGGAACACCACCTGTACCTGCAGCAAGTGCTGGAAGCAGCCCCCGCCCTCTCTCTCCTCTTCTTCATGTGAATAATGTTGCTATCAATGTGCCATTATCCATAAACATTCCACAATTCTACTTCCCTAAAGGACTTCCAGATGCATGTGCAAACCATGAACAGACCATAAACAAAATTGAAATGGCCTTCATGGAGTTGAAGATCAGAAAGCAGATATTTACGAAATGGGGAAAATTGCAAAGGTAATATAACTGCTAAGTAATTTATACCTACCCCTCTTCTTAGGGTCTTTAATCTGTTGTCTCTAGTAAAGGTCCCTTCCCCTCTGTGCATAAACCACCTTTTTCTTGAAATAATCTCTGATTGACCTTAATATCCTGTCTAACCATTACCAACTTTTTCTCCAATCAGTATACCCTTTCTTATACCCATTACATTTCTTTTCTTGTTGTTTAATTAATGTGATTTATTTTCCAAAACCACAATTCTATTGAAACTATATTCTTTAAGATCTTTAATGACCTAATCACTAAATCTAATGACTTTTTCTCATCCCTCATTTTCCTTGACCTTTCTGCAGGATTTGACACTTTTGCCTTCTTTTCTTTGATATCTAAGATATCGCATTACTATGATTTTCTCCTACCTCTCCAACTGCTTCTTCTCTTTTCATATCTTTTTCTGCTACTCTCTTTTAACTGTAGGTGTTTCCCATGTTTCACTAATTGGTTTGTATTTTTTTTCTGTTTATCCTCCTTTAGAGAGCCTATCCATTCTCATGACTATAAGCTGTTGTTATTGTTGTTGTTCAGCTGTTCAGTCATGTCTGACTCTTTATAACCTTGTGGACCATAGCACACTACTACTGTCCATGGGGTTTTCTTGGGAAAGATGCTGGAGTGTTTTGCCATTTCCTTCTTCAGTGAACTAAGACAAACAGAAGTTAAATGACTTGCCCAGGGTCACACAACTTAGTAAGTGTCTGAGGCTGGACTTGAACCCAGATCTTCCTGACTCCAGGCCCAGCACTCTATCCACTGAGCCACCTAGCTGCCTCCATTATTACCATTATTAAAAAGATTACTAAATCTATCTTTCAAGCTTTAACCACCATTCTGCCTCAGTCCAGAAGGTCTGTTGAATATTTTCATTTGGATGTCCCTCTGTCACCTCAAACTTCTAAAATCAAACTCATCTTCCTCTTAAAATTAGCTTTTCCTCTAGAGTTCCCTATTTCTCTGCATTTTCTCAGCTACCTACAGTCAAAAGTTTAGAATAATCTTTCATTCCTACATCTTCCTTTAATAGTAATTTCCAATCAAAGAGTTTTATTGGTTCTTATATCCAGTATTTTCCCCTAAAATTTGTTTGTTGATATACTAATTTTAAAAAAAAGAATCAGCAAATAATTCTGAAATATTCTATTTTAAATTTTGCTAGAGGCCAGCAAAGAGGATAAAAATTGTATTATTCTCTGGTTCAAATGTTTAACTACATCAGAATGGATAAAACTTGGAGGCAAACTAAACTTCAAATAAAAAACACGTAGTACATATTCACCTCACTGAAGTTAAAATGGTTTGCGCCTGCTCACTTCTAAAAAAAAAATGCTGATGGGAAAAGATAGGGGGAAGGGGAAAGGGAAAGAAGGGAGAGAGGAGGAGAGGAGAGTGATTTTGTAACATGATCAAGGGAAGGAGAATCCATATCTCTGCTTGTTTAGACATGCATGCGTTCCTCCTTGTTCTAGGTCTGAAAGTTGAAATATACAATTCATCAGCAGATGTGTGATCCTTGACAAGTTTGCTACTAGGACTAATGGTTTACCAACATACATATCAGAGTATACCAAATGGAAAAAAAAGTCAATTTTTGCTTTCTTTTCCCACTGACATTGTCCTAGAATCATAGAATTTAGGTATGGAAAATATCAGTAAATCAGTCAAAGAACCCTAGAAACCATCTAATACATCCTTTTCATTTTACTGACAAAGAAATTGGGACTCAGAAAAACTAAGGCGCTTACTCAGTATTATATTATTAGTTGGTGGCAGATTCAAAACTTGAATATAGGTCTCCTATGCTAAATTCAGTATTCTTCCCATGGAATCACACTGCCTCCATTTTGGAAACTTATCATTTACTTCCTAGATTATTGTAGCCTCCTAACAAGTCTCCCTGCCTATCGTCTCTCTTCCCTTCAGTACATATAATATAAATGCTGTCAGATTAAACTTTCTAAAACTCTAATTTCATTTCATCCATTCTGCCTAAAACTCTCCAATAATGACCTGTTACCTATAGGATAAAATCTAAACTCTTCTTCCAGACATTCAAGACATCCCTCACAGCCCAACCAGATTTCTCCCCCCTTCTTGTGAAGCCTTCCTAACTAGTCCAGGACACAATGATTCCTCTCTGTCTTCTGAAATCCTATAGCATGTATCGCCCATAGTATTCATTTGACAGTCACAAACAACTTACCTCCTCTTTTTAGTATTAAAATAGTGTTTTATATAAAGCTGGAAAGGTTAGTTAATTGTACGGAAAAATCAAGACCAGCTACAACCATTAAAATGAAATTTAATAGGGGTTAATTTGGAGGTATGCACTAAGTCCAAAATAGTAGTGCAAAAAATACGTGGGGAAACCTGGCTTCATAGCTTTTCATTTGGGGGAGAAAAAAAAGAAAAAAGAAGCTTGGAAATTTTAATTTACTAGGGGACCTGTATGACTCAATACTGTGATAAGTTTGCTAAAAAATGAAAATAATAAAATCTTTGTCTTCATAATAAAAATATAGTGTTCTGATTAAGGAAGGAACTAGTCTTACTTTACTCTTCACTGCTCAGATCACATCTGCAGTAACATGAATGAATTCATTCAGCATTTATTAAGCACTTACCAAGTGAAGGCATTTTGCTGAGTGCTGAAGATAAAGTAAAAAAGAGAGTTCCTGCCCTTGAGGGACTTACATTCAAATAAGGGGAGACAACCACATATAGGGGAGTGATGGCCAGGGAAGGGAGAAGTCACAGGAATAGTGAGTGGAGTCATGAGAGGATTTGAACATTATACCCTTTCCAGAAGTAATGTTATATTTATTTGATTACTGATCAGAGCAAGATTGCATAGCTGTGGCTGGTTAAGTGTAATGAACTTTCAGTAATTAAATGCACATCCTTAGGGTAAGTAGCTGGAGATCCAGCTACAAAACAGAGTGGCAGTAATGGTATGGCAAGAAAATGGACGTAGGTGGCAGGAGCTGGCTACATATAATGAGTTTTCATCAATCAGCATGGGTTCCAGGGCAGAAGCTAGAAATCAATTTGGATATAGGACAGCAGCAACATGGTAGGAAAATGGCATGGTCAGGTGGTTAGGGCTCACTGTTTGTAAAACAAGCTCTCCAGTTAGCATGGTGCATGGATGCTAGGAGGTGCAGTGGATAGAGTGCCAGGCCTGGAGTCAGGAGTACTATTCTTCCTGTGTTCAAATCTGGCCTCAGACATTTACTAGCTGTGTGACCCTGGCAACTCATTTAACCCTGTTTGTCTCAGTTTTCTCACCCGTAAAATAAGCTGGAGAAGGAAGTGGCAAACCACCTTAGTTGCCAGTAAAACCTGAAATGGAGTTTTTGTGGTCATGGTCTTAAAAAGTTGGACGAAATTTGGCTAGAGTATAGAGGCCAGGTATGAGAATATTGTATATTAATATTATAAAGGTAAGTTGAGACTAGGTTGTGAAGAGTTTTAAAAGCTAAATGGAGGAGCTGATATATGATCTCAGAGGCAATAGGGAGATGTTAGTGTTTATTGAATAGGGGACAGGCAAGGCCAGACTTGAATGTTAGGAAAATCACTTTGAGAGTTATGTGAAGGATGAATAAGAGACATGAAACGAGACTTGAGACAGGAAGACCAATTAGGAAGTTTAAAACTTAAAAGTACATAGAAGCCAAATTATTCTCAGCAAAGTATAATCAATCAAAAAGAAAATGACAACAAATGACAAATAAGTCATAAAATTAAAGACAAATAACTGTCATCTGATAGCTTCCATTTTGACTGGGAAAGTGGGTTGAGGGACAGGAAGCCATTGTAAAAATAGCAATAATAACAATAGCTAATTTATGTAGCGCTTACTATGTGCTGGCACATACAGTTTAGGGATTTTTTTCTTTTAACTGGATCAGTTAACTTCGTTGGTTGAGGCTCTCACAGTAGTGAATCTCCTTCTACCAATGCAGATCATGTGCTCTGCAAATTCTGTCTTAGAGCACTGCCAGGGAAACAAAGATTAAGCTACTTGTCACATTGCAGGTATGTGTCAGAGGCAAGATTTGAATACAGATCTTCCTAACTCTCAAACCCAGATCTCTATGCACTACATTAATCCACACTACTCACTTATGGAGAATATACTGTAAATAACATAAGGGAAAGCTATCAGCATTGCTGCTGATTCTGATGACTAGCCACAGGCTCGAAATGGGAAATGGCCGGTTAACCTGATCATGCTGATAGTTATCCTGGACCCTTAAAAGCTCTTGTACAATAATTGTAGTACAAAGAACCATGAGGAATGAAATCCAGTTATTGGAAGTGTATCAGAAGTCCTAGATGCCCTAATCATCAATTAAAAGGAAAAGCCCAAAGGTTAATGCCACATAAAGACAAAGACAAACAGCACAAAGAAGACAGTTAACTATAGGCTGTAGGAATTCTTAATCTTTTTGTGTCCCTTTGGCAGTCGGTATAGGATTACAGAGGAAGCCAGTTGTATTGAAATATAGTTATCAAAATATTTTAAAACTAATGTTCATCAACCCCAAGTTCACAATTCTTGAATTCCAGATCGTAAAAATTACAGTTAAAATGAAACCTTCAAGGCCTTTCAGCTACTTTTCTTTCATTTTGTAGTGGAAGTAAAGCTAATTTTCCCCATGTTGTTTGATATCAGTAAAGAGTGTTATGCCTGGAGAACTTGGAGAAATCTTGAATTTCCACTCTAATCCCAATATTTTGAAGCCTTGATTTGGTTATCCTGATGGGAGATTCTGTTATTTATCCACTATTTACCTCACTTTGCTTTTATCCTGTTTTTCATATTCTGAGCACCTGACATATGATCTTAGCTGACTTTGTGACTGACCTATATATCAAGAACACCTGATATCTGATTATGTTTACCTTTGGGCAGAAGCTAAAAATGATAACCTCCTGTCAAAAGCCATTTCATATAGACTTGAAATGAATCTGATTTATCACATCTCCAAAATGAGCAACTTTCCTAAATAGTTTTTATCACATGAATCAAAGATAATGTAGTAGCAGGTTTTAATTTCTAGGATGAATGACAAACACAGTCTTTTTGTACTAATAAGGTGTGGCACTCTAGACAGTTCCAGATTTGGAAGTGTGTTTTACATGAAGCTGTGAGTATACAAAATTGTCCAGTCTTGGAAGCTGACTGCATTTCTCTGCTATGAGCTAGAGGTAGTTGTCGGTGATAGGAAATAAAGCAGTATTTTTTTTTCCCCCTCTAGGAAAGAAACAAGTATACTTGGCCAGGGGAAGTCACCTTTCTTTTAAGGAGAAGTGTCAATGGAAAAAAAAGAAGAGATGACAGAAGGGAATTCTGGGGAGAAAGAAATGGATACTCTTCCCTTTGGGAGTTGTTGTTTTGTTTATCAGTTATATCCGACTCTTTGTGACCCCATTTAGGATTTTCTTGGCACAGATCCTAGAATGGTTTGCCATTTATTTCACCAGCTCATTTTACAGATGAGGAAACTGAAGCAAATAAGGTTAAGCAACTTGTCCAATTACTAAGTGTCTGAGGCCAGATTTGAACTCAGGAAGATGAGTCTTCCTGACAGTCCCAAGACTCAATCCACTGTACCAACTAGTTGCCCTAGAATACTCTTTCTATATAGGATCATAGTTCCTTTGCGGGGAGTATATCTTAAATGTAATTTCTTTTCACTTCTCAGTAGTTCTTATGGTCTGTCAATATAGAGTTTCTTGTTTGTGATGGCTTCTAATTTGCTAATATGATTTATGTGCTAGTATTATACTTTCACCTTTGATCATTTATATAAATTGTAGTACTTTTAACAAACCCAAAACTATTCCTTCCAGCCTGAATTTTTCTGGCTTTTTCTCCTATCTTGGACTTAGTGAAAAAACAGGCAAAGGATGGAGAGAGGTGCATATAACAGCAACCATGTAACAACAAGCTGTTCAGGAAAAGGGACTGACTTTATTTCTCTGCTAGGGTAAGGAGAGAGTAGACAACAATAGGAAATGAGGCTTGCTGTTTTTCTTCCTTCAAAGAAGGGGGCTTATATATTGGACTTTAGTTAGATGAAGCTGCCAAAGGCTAGATTTTTAGAGTTAATCCAGAGGCTAGCCAGGAAAGGAAAGAAATATTCTGAAAAAGAAACTGAGGAGGTAAGAAAAATATTTCCTTTTTGTTTATAAAATTGGTGGTTTATATGTCTGACAAAATTTTCCCACTGTAATGGGTTCTCATATTTGCTACCTAAGATTATAGTAACTGAGTGTCCTCGGTTTTATTTTTTCCTAGTATTCTTCTTGCCCATGGGGCAATTGAGCTCAAAAACCCATAAAGGACTCTTCTTTTTCCATTCATGTGCTTACTGCCTCTCTGTTTGTGTTTTCAGGCATGTGGCTGCCCATTCTATTGGAAAGCCCCCATGTTCAATGCTGCAGGAGGCGAAAGGACGGGATTTGTATCTGTACATTCGTTCATAGCCATGTGGCGAAAGTAAGTGTGTGGGAACAGTCGATCTCTTTTTGACAGTTTCCTTTCTTTTCCACATTCAAATGTATATTACACAACCATATTCTTGTGCTATATTAGTGTTTTCCCAGCTACGTGGCACAGCAGATAAGAGTGCCAGGCCTGAAGTCAGGAAGACTCATCTTACTGAGTTCATGTACAGCCTCAGACACTAGGTGTGTGATCATGGGCAAGTCTTTATAGCCTGTTTGCCTCAGTTTCCTCATTTGTAAAATGAGCTGGAGAAGGAAATAGCAAACCACGTAGTGATGTCTTTTCTAAAAAAACCCCAAATGGGATCACAAAGAGTCAGACATGATTGAAATGACTGAACGACAGCAAAAAAGGGATCTTTTCCAATATAATTCCTCATTATTTCAATCAATAAAGATAATAATTCATATTTACATATCATTGTGAGTTTTGCAAAATGCTTTTCTCACAACAGACCAGTGAGGTAATATTACAAGTTTTGCTATCTCCATTTTACAGATGAGGAATATGAAATAAAGTTAAATTGGTATGCCTATAGCTCAGAGAGGCTTGTGCAACATCATACAACTAAGCAGGGTCAGGGTGAGATTAAGAACCAGCTTACTTCTGACTCCACAGCTAGCACTCTTTTCATTTCACCATGCCGCTTCAGATCTGTGGGCTACCTATTTAATAATAATAAATTCCTATTTTTACTTTTAAACATATGTCCATATATTGAGAAAGGTTTGACCAACAATACAGAATTGAATAAGACTCCTTTCTTTCAGTAAGGCAAATGCTCAAAAAATATCCCTTGTGGAGGAAAAAAATGCCTCCTTATCCAGGAATAAATCTAGTTGATATTATAAGTATTTTAATTCAGTTCTATTCTGGATAACTAGAGATACTGCTTTGTTGAGCCAGTTGTAGATTTCATTATCTTGACCCTCCCAGATATTTTATTTATAAAATTTGTCTTTAAATGAAGATTTATATCATACTTTTCTCTTCCTTCACTACTTTGACTTATTTGTATGTTAATTCATTCAACAAATATGTATTAAATGCCCACAGTATGCTAAACATGGAGAATATAAGGCTTATGGATCACAGGATTGGTTTCAGAGGTGTAAGGGACCTCAGAGACTGTGCAGTCCAACTTATACCTGAAAAGAATCCCTGCTACAACATATCTGACAAGTTGACATTGAGCCTTTGATTAAAGACTCCTAGTATGGATAAATCTCTTTCTTACTGAAGCAGACCATTTTACATACCAGATATTACACAGACTCTGATCTCTTTTAATCTAGAGAGTAACTCTAACACAACGGAACATGAGGTCATTGCAAGGAAAAGTGCTGTGAGAAATTTGAGGTGGGAAAGATCACTTTCTTTTGGGGAGGAACAAGAGAGAAGAGAAGGGGGATCAGGGCATGCTTCATGGAAAAAGTGGATTATGAATTGAGAGAGGGCCTTCAACTGATAAAGATGGGGATAGAGGGATTGCATTCCAGGAATGGGAAATAACATAAGCAAAATTATTAAGAGGGGAGAGGATATAATAAAAACAGAAGATAGAATTCCAAGTTGACTGGAAATACTGTGAGATAATAATAATGAGATATAACTGAATGGGTAAGTTAAGAGCAGATTATGGAGGATTTTGAATGTCAAGATCAAGCTTTAATGCTTTATTTAGTGGGTGATGGGAAGCCATTCTCTTTTTAGGGGGGGGTGGGAAGGAACAAAGGAATGCCATCTTTGAGTGGTGCCTTGGAATAAGAGATAGATAGAAGACAGGAAAACCAGACATGAGGCTTTTATCGCTGTTTAGAGAAGAAAATATGGTGGTGGGGGAGGGGTTTGAGGGATTTCCTACCAAGATGGCCACCTGAACAGGAAACAGGCCTCCCAGCTCCCATAAACCTACCTACTCCAGCAAAACTGTGACGTGTTCACCAGAGTGAATAATAATCAAGAAATCTGAAAAGAAATTAATTAATTTCTTCCATCCACTCCAAAATTGCATGAAAAGTTAACCAAAAGCACAAGGTCAGTAGGAAAGGGGGCATGCCAGCAAAGCCAACATAAGGCTTGCCTTCCAGACCAGTGCTTCTTAAATTTTTTCCACTTGCAACACCTTCAGCGCATCTTAAAATGAGAGAAACCATGTACACAGATAACCTGCAAGTCTCTATGGACCAAAGCAATGGCTGAGCCCTTTCCAAAAGTACTTCTCTTAGAAAGCTCCAGGGTAGGAGGACCTCGAAAGCCCAAGGAGGTACAGCAGGCAGCATCCAGCCAACAAACATGGTGTCACAGTGCCCAGTACATTCCAAGCTGAGGGGCTTTCAGGTACCTAGCATTGCTGTCTTGAGATGCCAGAGAAGGCTCTGAAGATGCCAGCATCCTGAACCTCAAAAATCCAGAGGGTCCAACCCCTGGAAAGTAGAAGTCAACATAAGAACCCAGAGAACTGAAGGCTAGACCATATTGCCCAAAAATACAACAGGGATCAGAACCTGGCCTTGGCCCAGGAACTAAAACTGTATAAAGATGAATAAATCAAAAAAAGCACTGTCCACTATAAAAAAAAAAAGTATTGCAGATAATAGTGCCATAATAACTACAAGCAGAGATGCAAAGAAAAAATGGATTTTCCACAAAGACCACTTGAATACCTAGAAGAAATGAAATAAGGAAAAATGAAATTAGGTCTCTGGAGGAAAGAATTAGAAGGACAATAATTAGCTTAAAATTAGCTTAGAAGTGGTAAACCCCACCCAAGTAATGGACTCTTTGAGAACTAGAATAGAACCAACAGAATTCAGTGACTCCATGAAGCAGCAAAAAAAGTTAAAGTCAGAAGACTTAAAAAATATAAGTATGTTACATAATATATAATTTCAAAAACAACTGCCCTGAAAACAGATCAAAGAATGTGAATTTAAGAATTGTCCCCCCCCAACAGATAAGCTGTCAAAGAATATGAAGAAAAGAAAAACTACAGACTCTTTAACAACCATATGAAAGAATGTTCCAAATCATGAATAATAAGAGAAGTGCAAATCAAAACAACCCTGAGGTTTCACTTCACACCCTGCAAATTGGGGAAGATGACAAAAGATGGAAATAGTGTTAGAGGGGTTAAGAGAAGATTGGTACACTAGTGTGCATTGTTGGTGGAGCTGTGAATCAATACAATTGTTTTGGACAGCACTTTGGAATTACTCAAATAAAGTGACCAAAACATCTGTATCTTTTGATCTCAAGATTCCATTACTACGTCCCTCCACCTGCCCCCAGACCATTGATAAGAAGAAAGCCCCTCTATATACCCGAATATTGATAGTTGCACTTTTTGTGATAGCAGATAACTGGAAACAGATAAATGCCCCTTGACAGTGGAATGGCTAAGGTAATTGTGATTGTTCATTCATGTCCTACTCTTCATGACCCCATTTGAGGTTTTCTTGGCAAATATACTAGAGTGGAGTCACTCCTTCCTTCTCCATCTCATTTGACAGATGAAGAAACTGAGTCAGAAAGGGATAAGTGATTTCCCCAAGGTCACACAGCTAGTAATTGTGTAAAGCTGGATTTAAACTTAAAGACAACCGAGTCTTTCTGACTCCAGGCCCAGCCCTCTATCCACTGCACCACCTAGTTGTCCCCAAAACCAGTTGTGGTACGTGAATGTAATGGAATAGTACTGTGCTATGTATGATGAATATAGAAGAAGATATATAAGAACTGATGCAAAATGAAGTAAGCAGAACCAAGAAAATGACATACATAATGACTACAACAATGTAAATGAAAAGAATAATGCCCAAAATATCAAAAGTCAGTGTTGAAAAATTATAGGGATCAAGCATGGTTTGAAAGAAGATATGAGAAGACACTCCTCCACCCTTTTAGAAGGTCCACAATTGTTGTACATTGCATATATTTCCAGACTTTTTAAATGTATTTATTAGTTAAGCTGATTTTTTTTCTTTTTCCTTTTGTTGTCTTTAAGATGCCGTTTGTTATATAGGATGGCTTTCTGAGAGGGGTTAAGGAAATGATACTGGGAGAGATTATGATGTAAAAAAAAAAGACATCAATAAAAACTTACTTAAAAAAAAATCTTTCGGAGTCCTGATTCAAAATACTGTTGTTCAAGAACAATAATAGTGTAGACATGTTGTTCAAGACATCAGAAATTAAAACTATCCAGAGCTATTAAAACCAGAGGGCAAAGTAAAGATAGAATATATCAATCATTTCTTGAAAGAAACTCCAAAAGGAAAAGTCCCAGGAATGCCATAACCAAAATCCAGACCTTCTACATCAAAAGAAAAAATACTGCAAGCATCCAGAAAGGAGTTAACAGAACCAGTCAGGATCACACAAGACTTGGCAGCTTCTATGATAATCAGGAGAAAACCTTGGAAAAAACAGTATACCAAAAGGCAAAAAGATAGAGACTTACAACCAAGAATAACTTTCCTATATAGGGGGGAAAATGGACCTTTAATGACTATAGCACTTTCAAGCATTTCTGATGAAAAAAGCAGAGCTGAGAAGAAACTTTGAAATATAAATACCTGGAAAAGTACATTTATTTGAGCAGTTGGAAGTGAATAAGCATTTATTCAACACTTACTATGTGCCAGGCACTGTGCTAAGACCTGGACATGATGCTGATTGGGAGGAGCTGTATAATGATGTGCTAACATTCTTAATAAGGAGAGAAGAAACAATTGTCCCTTTAGAATTTTAATGTCTTCTTGAGGAAGTTAAATAAGAAAAAACAGAGGTCCAAGGAGTGGGTTGGTTCTGTTCTGAGGGCTTGAAGAGGAACAAGAGAAGGGAGGGTTTAAAAAAAAAAAGGGAAAGTATAGTACAGGAGAGTTCAGGTGAAGAGCACTGACACAACACAGGGAGAGGAGTTAACAAGGCTATTCACAATCAGGGAAAGGGCCTATGGACCACAGGGAACAGTCTTAGTGTGTGGCCCT